CCAGGCAACTGACGGGTTTACAAAATTCCTTCCAGTTTCTCCTTATCAATTGTTTGTATCAAAGCTGGCCGTTCAAGACCTACACACTCCAGCTTACCGGGGGAGGGAGGGGGGGGGGGGGGGTTGTTAGAGGACTGATACGGGATGTGGGTAACCATCTTCCTGCATGTAAGCTCTTTCTTTTGTCCAACAAACAATGAAGATATTTTTCACAACTCTCTGTAGCTTGTTCCTCATAGGTTCTTATTGGGTACCAACTTCTCCTCCAATACCTTCTACTATTGGAACATCAAGAACATTCCCGTTAAGTTCTGGTATATAGGGTGTTTCTCTAATTTAGCCCTTTTTATTGGTTCAGTACCCTATACAACTTTATCCACAACCTTGGGAAACTTAGGTTCTTCTACACCTGTCTTAGTTCCTTCTAGTTAGTCAATCACCAGGTTGATAGAGTCATTGGCAAATTTTCTCTCATCGAAAACGTTATTGGATGAGATTTGAACATTTTCTTCTGGTTGTTCTTCTCCTTCCAGATTCTCCTTTGCCTCCGAAATTTCAATAGTGGCTCCAACTTCATATGATTTCTCCACTCCTTCCGGAACAACTGTTGGAACAACTATTCCTTTCGGACCAACTTCTTCTGATCTCTCTATTCATTTCCTTCCAGAGTAACTTCAGCTTGTGGCCCCCTTCAACCAATACATGGAAGACTGTCCAGGCACCACAGTTAGGCTTGACTCATGTTGAGCTCTGGAGAGATGGTTGGTAGCTTCTAGATTTCATTGATCATAATTATCTCCGTCATCGTCATGGATAGAAGGCCCTTATTCTTTAGCTGTTTTCTTCTTGTTCAACATAGAAACTTTTTGGATCAAGAATTCTTCTAAGGGACAAAAGTTATAAATTTTAGAGTGCATTTCATCTCTAATTATGTTGTAGACTGCCTCTTCCATTGTACGCATATTGATAAAACATATTCTTAACTATATTTTACTCTATACTATAGCCTATTTTGTGCATAATATAAAGTTCCCCGAATCATGTGTGTATTGAGACTTATTTGTTTGCTTTATTGTCTTAGGCACATTTATTCACAAAAATTACAGAGGGAAGTATTATTTTGGGGCATTTCCGGTCAATTTTGGAGTTAAAGAACCCGTTCAAGAAGGAATGGAGCAACAAACGAAGAACGAGGAGCACACTAGGAGAATTAGCATGGCCACCAGGTCAAGGCCGTTCTTGAAATATTTTACACAACCATGCTTTAGGTCATGCCAAATGGAGGCAATGTTCACTTCATTTTAGGCCAAATTAGGCACGACCATGGCCTTGGTCGTGCCACTATGGGTAATCTGAACAGTATTTAAACATGTTCTATGTTGTATTTTGGGGGAGGCGAACGCTAGATAGTTTCAATCGGCATCCCTTTATTTCCTTTCATCTTTTAGGGCTAGACTAGCTTAGATTACATATAATCAACACATTTTCCAATCTTTTAATCTCAGATTGAAGTCGAATTCAACCTCAACATTGCATCTACATAGAGAAGCTTTTCCATACTCTTTCTTTTATTTCCTCTACAATAATGTTCTTAATATTCATTTGTGCTTTTTACTTGTTCTTCTTTTTGAAGTGTGAGTAGTTCGATATGGAGTTTTGATTAGCGATTAATCCCTTTCCTAAGTGCTGGTTATGTAGATTTTGCATAAAGTGGGACCCAAGAATGCCTTTGAGCTTAAGAGTTTGGGATTGAGGCGTCATGAAAGTGGGGCAATCTCTTGCTCTAATTCTAGGTCGAAAGATCTTTAATTCTAACGCGCATTTTGGATGACATCGTGAATTAGGTATTTCTCCCTATTTTTCTCAGTTTGTTCATGCTCTTAATTTGGATGTGGTTATCGTTAATCTGGTAGAAGGTGGGGCATGAGATAAGGCTAGAGGTGTAGCCATGTCGCAAACCTTACACAGGGGTTATGTGCTTTGCGCGATGAGCCTACACTATGCTATATGCCTTGCACACAAGCATGAGCATGCCAACATATAGTAGTGCCTATGTACCGCTTGGGGTAAACCACGTGTGATCATACAAAGGTTTCATACATGGAATCATGTGATGATGTGGTTCAAAATTTCATGGCACATCTCGGCCCACGATCTAAAACATTTGATGAATTAGAGCAACAGTTCCTTAGAGATTATAAAAGACCGGTACAACTTATGTCTTGGTCATCATCATCTTCTCATTCTTTTAATTCAATGTCTTGTATATCCCTTTAAGTTTGGTACTTGTCCAAATATCAAAGACACACTTTCAAGACGCTGAATGGTAGTCACTATCTAACACCTTCCTCTAAAACCCCATGTTCTCATTATTACTACAAATTATATTTTCCAATTCTATGCTTTGCCTGGACCAAAAAATCATAAGTGATGTATCAAAAGTAATAGAATGCCTAATTGCTAACAAAAGATTCAACAAATTAAAGAAGAATAAAACACACATGAATCTAAAAGACTAACAACATGTTTGATTCGTTGAATATGTTTAGAATGGTATAGAATTTTTATGAGTACACTTATTCGATCATTTTTTAAGTTTATATATTCTTGAAAAATACTATTCACCAGAATATGCTATCCTTGAGAATAAATATCTTTTATTATATAGGGCATTTCAATAATTTCAATGCTTACATAATTTCTATTTCTAAAACGAACCAAAACCTAAATACAATTCCTAAAATATATACATTTCAATAACCAAAAATGAAATTTAATTCATAATCTATATCTTGCTTTTTGATTCCCTATTGAATATTATTCTTTTTCCTCAAAACTCAATTATGTAAACCAAATATACTTTAAGGGTTACTCTGTATAGATTTTTTTTTTCAATTTCCATTTTCTACATTTCCATGTTTTACACTCCTTACCTTTTCTACATTAACAAACAAATAGACCAAATTCTCTGAAGGAAATTTTTTTCGGTTGGCCCACCCAATTTAATTCTGTCTAACCGTAACGCTTTATTTGTCCGTTACCATTTCTCCCATCTACCCTCCTCTCTCTCTCTCTCTCTCTCTCTCTCTCTCTCTCTCTCTCTCTCTCTCCCTCCCTCTCCCTCTCCCTCTCCGTCTACCCTCCCCCCTCTCTCTCTCTCTCTCTCTCTCTCTCTCTCTCTCTCTCTCTCTCTCTCTCTCTCTCTCTCTTTCTAAGCCGCAACGAAATCCTCTTTCTATAAAGTTTGTCTCCTCTAACTTTAATCTTCTCTCTCGCTGTATATCTCTTTTGACTCTCATCTCTCGATTGGAAAAAAAAGGTTTCTATACATCTATCAACCCGATCTCGTTAATCGTCATCGAAACTCCTTAGATTGAGAAGGTAATCTTTAGTCTCATCCCCTTTACTATCTATAAGACTTGAAAGTTTTTTTAGAAGCCTAGATGTATGTTTCATTTAATTTGAACAACAAAAAATTTGTTTTCTTTGTAATGAAATTGAAATTGTGAAAACATTGACAAATTCATTTCGAAACATGTTTTATTGAATACATTTTCTATTTTTTCTAAATTTTTGTTACTTAAAATACCCGCATTTAAAAACTTGTCCGCCATTAAAAGTGAGAAAGAGATTATCAAAAAAAAAAAAGAAAAAAAATAAAATAAAAACCTACCAAACTTCAAATAGCTTTTGAGCAATTTTGATATAATTCTTTCTCTCTATCTCTATCTCTCTCTTCAGCTCTCTCTCTCTCTCTCTATATATATATATATATATATATATATATATATATATATATATATATATATATATATATATATACACACACACACACGCACACACGCACACGTGCACACAGCTAAAAAAATCTTTCAAGTATTCATTTTCATTAGAAAGCTATTAAATGAGTTCAAATCTATTTATTTATTAATTTGTAAAATAGGAAACTAATTTGCACTATTTTTTTCCTCATAAAGAAATAAAAATGTAGTGACAATTGATAAAAGTATCAAGTAATATTGTAAGTATGTAAGTTGTTATATATGGAGTTGTGGTTAGGTAGATGGGATTGATTTAGAAATAATAGTAAAACAAGTAAAAGAAATATGAATGCAATAGATGCATATGCTGTAATGGGTAAGTAGACAGTTGTAAAGCATTGATAGTTGGGGATGGATTAAATAGGTAGGTGATAGCTAGTAGGAAAAAATAAATAGGTTATGGTGCGTAAAAAGAATGTGATTATATTATAGGAATATAGGAAATAGTGATGGTAGGGGTAGGTAGGTGGTGTTTGATGGTTAGGTGGGTGGGTGAAGGTAATGCTATAAAAATAAGTGAAGTGAATATATATATATATATATATATATATATATATATATATATATATGTATGTACACACACACACACACACACACACACACACACACACACACACACACACACACATATATATATATATATATATATATATATATATATATATATATATATATATATATATATATAACATTCAAATACAAACCCCCTTAAAATACAAACTTCCCTTAAAATACAAACTTGAACTTGTGCACACATTAACATACTTACATGCACACAGGGCGTACTGTCAACAATTTCTGGGATTAGCATGTGCACACAATAACATACTTACATGCACACAGCGCGTAGAAGGATAAATCACAACCATCCATCAAAGCTCGTGCACATATATATATATATATATATATATATATATATATATATATATATATATATATAGTTAAACTAATTCTCTAATTCTATACATACTGAAATTAATCAATGATGTAACACTAGCAATATTTATTGGATTCTTTTTGTAATTTGTATGGCTTTTATTCATTTTGTATGTACTCACATTTAAATTTCTTGTGGATATAGTGAGAAATAGATCAGAGTTGGGTTAAAATATTTAATTTTATATATATTTTTTATTTTCAGATAACAAAAGTAATTTTTATCTAAGACACACAATCAGGATGTCATTCCCTACTCCTAAGCGCCATATGCAACAACAAAATTTGAATCAAGATATAATCACAGAAATCCTTAAAAGGCTGCCTGTGAAATCTCTACTGCAATTTAGGTGTGTTTCAAAAGTTTGGCGTGCTTTAATATCATCTCCAGAATTTGTCAAATTGCACTTAAATTTTCATTCGAAAAAGGATATTAAGGTCATGACATATAGCAGTGTAAATCGGATTAGCCATACGTCCTTGTTTTCTATTACAGAAAACAAGCCATCATCATTTCGAAAGTTTATTACATATGACCGCTCGGTCTTAATCCCTCAAGATGGTTTTGAATTTTTGGGTTCTTGCAATGGGCTCTTTTGCTTTCGTGCTAAACCGTATCAAATAATGATTTGGAATTCTTCATTAAATGGAAACGTCAAGACAATCCCAGACGTATGGCGGTTCAGCTACATAAGCATATTTGGATTTGGATACGACATGCATAATGACGACTACAAGGTTGTTTATGCTTATTATGGTGACAATAATGGTGATGAATATGTGGTTTTGTTGTATAGTTTTAAGCATGGGTCATGGAAAAGATGTGATAGAGGGTTTAGTAGTGGGTTTGTTTATCCCAGAATTGCTGTGTTTTTGAGTGGTAGTCTCAACTGTTGCAATAACAACTTAGATGACAGTGACTGCAATTGGAATATAATTTCTTTTAATTTAACCACAAGCTATAGTGTTACCCAGCCATGAACATGGGGCTGCCATTTGTGTAGGTGAGTCAAGAGGATTGCTTTTTGCAGATTTTCATCTCAAACGTCAAATGGAAGTTTGGGTGCTGAATGAGTTTTGAGTTGAAGAATCATGGACTAAACTAGTCTGCATTTCAAACTTACCGGTTCATCATCCACTTCCCCGGGGTTCAGAGAACACGGCATACATGGCTCTGTGTAATGCTAAACTCGCAATTGTACATGTTTCCGAAAATGGTGATATTCTAATGATCGTTGGGCATCAGTTGAAGCTCCATAGACCTAACGCTAGAAGGGGTAAGAATTTTAATATCCCCTATGCTCTTGGTTATATGGTTACTAGTTATGTGGACACCCTTGTTTCACCATGACCGGTCTGTAAATTAATTGTTCATGTCATGTTGGAGGAAGAAAATTTTGCTTTTTGATGGGTTGATTTAGAGTTCATCAATGGCTTTATAATCGTGTGGAATTAAGTATAAAATAGTATTAATTTTTTATTGTATCATTTGTGTATGAGCTTTGTGAAGTAAATTTTCCTAGCCATGTTTGCTGAACTATAGATTTGTGTGAATGCAACACAGGTAAGATAGAAATGTTTTTAAGTTAAATTTCATTGCATTTTAGTGTAAAGGGTTGTGACTTTGGGCCATAATATTAACTACCCATCCATTACGGACTTGGGTGTGAGGCGATACAGAGAAAGTGTGAAGGGGGGAGGGGGGGGGGGTGGGATTGAATATATGTTGAGCATAGAGGGGTAGGTTGATCCATGGGGTTTACCAACTTACCGCTAAGGGGCGGGGGGCGGTCACAAGGCCAGTGGTCCCTACCGGCCGAAAAAAGGGTCTCGTGAACTCCTCGAGCTACAGTAGTGTGGCTAGTGGGCGTCGAGCGCTCTCCATCGTGTCAACTGCGCCCCGTGCTATCATGACTTCTAACATTGAAAATTGGGTTCGGTTACATAAAGTACATTTTTATTATACTAAAGATTCATTTTTTAAAGATACATTATTTGGTATATACTATCAAATAATAAACGTTTAGTACACAAATAATGTACATTCAATATATTAGAAATATACATTTATTCATGTTCCAATTAATTTGCCTTTATTCCTAGCTCCTTATTTGGGCTCCTTTATTTATTATTTATCTATTCCTTGAATTATAATCTCGAGTCGTATATACTCTTTTGAACTTGTTAGGAACATTGTATTAGGATTTTGATGATACCAATGTAATGTAGAAAAGTATACCCCTAACCTTTTGCTTTTTCAATCGCTGCTTTCGTCCTAGACGAGAGCTGCCATAACTCCTATGTAATTCGTGTTAAGCTAGACAAACACACGAAAATGAGTTATGATTAGATGATAGGGTCTCCAAGGCGAAAGAAGACACGAGACATGAAGAATATCAAAGAGAGTCAAGAAGGAGTTGTCAACAAACACGAAAAGACAGTTCTTTATGAAGACGATCTGTATCAAACGTTACTTCTCTCCCACAACGAGAAGAATGTTCTAACTGTCCGTTTTGAAAACATCCTAGAACAATAAGGACCTCATCTTAAGGGACACTCTTTTCAAGGAGCATTAAATGAAGATGTACCATCTTCTGAAGCTATAGGACAAAACCTAATGCTTTCCATACCTCCAACGGCTAAATGGTACAACCTCATTAATGGAGCATTTAATGCATGAAGCTCCCCGGTCATTGTCCAATGGTTAAAAGGTTCGAAAATTTCATCTCCCTCCAACGGATGAATTTTCATCACCTATATAAACCCACCTTCATCAACTAAGAATGTGCTGGTTCATTTTCACTCGACTTACTTACTTACAAAAGCTCTTGAAACGCCTACAATTTACTAAAAGCTTTTGTGAACCAGTTTTGAGGTGCCAAGTTACTTGAAGAAAATTATTGATCGTTTTCTTACACCTCAAAGGAAGTCTTGCCATCTGTTTGAAGCAATCATATCTCAGAGTCAAGACTTCATCGTTGGAGAAATCAAGAAGTTTCTTTCTACCAACCTCAACTCAGGAGAAGAAGTTGATAGAGGCGGAGTAAACTCGAGGAGTTGAAAAACCTACGAAGGCTGTCCGGCTTAGTCATCAAGGAAGTCTTTGTGTAATTGTACTAAGAGTGATAGTGCAATCCTTCCAACAGTTGTGGAAGAAGAGTGGAGTAGGCAACATTAGCCGAACCACTATAAAATCTCGTGTCCCTTCTATCTCTTTACTTACGCTTTTCTTCTCTGCAATCATATCATTCCATTTATCATCATTACTGAAAGTTTGTCTAATTACGCAAACTCGTGCAAAGTATTTAAAACGAATCTTTCTTATCCGCTGCGCCTAGACACCGAAAGGTGACGATTAGGGCTTTTCACGAAAAGAGTCTATTCACCCCCCCTCTAGACTCTCACTTCATTCTATCGGGACCAACAAGTGGTATCAGAGCCAATACCTTGATCGGTAAAGACTTTGCATTTACTGCCTGGTAGATCACTTTTCAAAAAATCTCTTGAAAATCTTGCATATTTTCTTTGCACGTTTTTTTATATACTCAAAAATGGAAAAGGAACATGTTCATCGCTCCAAACAACTTGCATTTAGTCTTGCTAAATTTGATGACTGGAAGTTAAGAATGCAGGCTCTCCTATGCTCTATTCATGATGAAATGTGGGACGTCATAACAACCGGACCAATCACAATCATGATGGCGAATGCTCAAGCAGCCGCACAGGGAGCAGGAGCTCCACAAATGATACCAAAGCTGAAAGACCAGTATTGCTCGGAAGAGAGAACAAGAGCGAATCTGGACAATGTAGCAAGAAATATTCTCTACAACTCTCTGGATGACTCATTGTTTCCCAAGGTCCGAAAATGCAAGAATGCCATGGAAGTATGGAATGTCCTAATGAGTTTGGGAGAAGGAGACGAGCAAGAAATGGCTATGAAAAAATTTGAAGATTTCAAAATGCTGCCAAATGAATCAATCATGGATATGGAACTCAGATTCACCAGACTGATGGGCGATTTATCAGATCTTGGAAAAGAGCTTACTGAGAAGGAAATGAATCTGAAGATCCTTCGTGGACTACCAAAATCATGGGAAATGAAGGTTATTGCAATGAGGCATAGTCGAGATATGAAAACAACAAGCACGGCCAAAAGTTTCAGTGATCTCAAAGCTTATGAGTTCGAACATGAACCGAAAGATGCCGAAGATTCAGAAACAAGAAACATTGCTCTCATGGCAAATCAATCAGCATCAACATCCAACAGGTCGAAATCTAACTCTTGTGATTTTTTATCTGACGAACAATATGCACTATTTGTCAGGAAAATGAAAAGGTTCATGAGAAAGAACAACTTTCAAGACCCACAACGATCGGGCCACCGAAAGAAGCACGAGAGCTTCCCTCAAACCTCAAAAACCGAAACCATGGACTCGCAGCTATTGTGCTATAATTGCCGAAAGCCAGGACACTTCAAGGCGAACTGTCCACATCCCATAGTAAGCAAACATCAAGATAACAATGCTACCACAAGTCCCTCAAAAGAGACTGGAGAAAGATATAAAAGAAGCGACAAACCTGAATCATCAAACTCCAGAAAGGAATGAAGAAGGAAGGCAATGGTAGTAAACGAAACATCTGACATAGTCGCAACCGAAAGTAGTTCCTCAAGCTCTAGCTCAGAAGACGAAAACACTGATGAGGAGAAAGGACTATTGTGCTTATTCAGTCAAGAGTTAGACGAACTATGTCTCATGGCAAATGAAGGCGAGGTAAATTCTCATTCATCCTCTTGTTATTCAGCTGAGTCGAGTTCTGTGAGAAGTCTTACCTCCAATGAATCTGTCACCGAAATGATAAGGAGGTTCAATGTGATAAATAGCACTTACTCCAAACTCAAGGAGGAGAACTCTCGGCTCATGCTTAGCTATAATGAACTAAAGCAAGTTCGTATTGAGAACAATGTGCTAGTCATTGCTAAGGAGCAGCTTGAGAAAGATGTTATTGCTCTAAAGGAGCAATGCACAGCAAAAGAGAAGAGAGAGCAAGAACTGCTTGAAGTCTTGGATAAATTCAACAATTCATCCAACCTAATGGATAGAATGATGAATGAATCCAGAATGCCCGGGGAAAGAACTGGAATTGGTTTTAAGCCCAGCTCCTCTTCACAAGTCGAATTGAACAAATCCACGAATGCATATTCACACGAAAGCTTCGAGGCCGCATTTGTTCAAGGACCCACCCAGGTGTCTGAGCCTATGATGGTAGTTAACAACGTCGAAACACCACAATCAACAAGCCAACCGAAAGGTACGGCTGTACAACGAATTGTGGAATCTGGAAAGAAGAAATCTAGTAATGGCAATCCTAGACAAATCTATGTCAAAAGGAATGGACCAAATGGCAATAAACAGAATCTACGCCATAAAAAGGGTCAGCCTAACTGGAACACTCAATCTAATAAAAAGACGAATGTTAACCAGAGGCAATATCGTCCGAAATTCACACGAAAGAATCCTGCTCAAGGAATCTCAAAAAACGGACAAATCAGACAACCCGAAAGATCCTTCAAAAGATCTGGATATGGCAATGGATGGACTGGGCCATCAGAAGAAGATTGATTTGGTTACCCATAACCTCTCCCTAAAGCAGTATTTGAAAAGATTCATCTGCGTAAACAAACCAATCATCTCAAGCATTATGAAAATCTTCCTCAGGAAGATCAACGTAAGAAATATAATGCTAAAGTCTTTGCCAGCATCCATTATGATTATCGTACATCTAATGGATATAGAGGACCGAGGATGAGTCGTGGATACTCTAGGTTGATGTGGGTTCCAAAGTTGACTGCTAACCCCCAAGGACCCGAAACTAAATGGGTACCTAAAAACACATAATCTTTGATGCAGGAAAAACAGGTCATATGGTATATTGATAGTGGATGCTCAAGACATATGACTGGTGACAAAACAATGTTGAGC